AATTTTTTTTTTTTTTTTTTTTTTTTTTTTTTTTTTTTTTTTTTTTTTTTTTTTTTTTTTTTTTTTTTTTTTTTTTTTTTTTTTGTTTTTTTTTTTTTTTTTTTTTTTTTAATCTTCGAAAATTCTACAATTTTGGGTTATTGCAGATTTTCAATTTCAGCGAAATCGAGAAGAAAGCTAAAATCGAATGATTTATTTCAGTATTTCTCCATCCGATCACGCGAACAAATATCTTTACTTTGAGCAAAGGATTTAAAAGTCGTAAACTTGTGTCATTTGGATTGGATATTTTCCAGTTATGTCATAAGAAATAGATTAGTTAAGCGATTCATATCTGTAAAGCACGTAAGAGAAATAGAAACTAATAGAGCTCATCTTTGTTTAGTTCAAAATCAAATTTTCAATAAATTTTGATAAAAGTAGATGAAAAATATAATTGTAAGTTGATAGAAATTATAACAAATCCTATAATGTGTGATTTGATTTATATTTTTATCAATTTTTTAACTAAATCAATGCCATGCGAGCAAGGGAGGAGCCATACTTTTTGTATTTAGGGTAAAAAATTAGAATGTAATTTAAAAAAAAAAAGTATAACATTAATAGAAAAAGTCACCACACCTATGCATTTTCATACTTTACTAGAAGTCAATGATGGAAGTAAGGGTTTTGCGGGGAAATTGAAATTAAGGCCTCGTTTGATATTTATTTCCGTGAAAATGAGAATGAAAAATATAGTCGTTACGAAACTCACACAAAAGATAAAAAGTCAAATATAATTGCTTGATGTGATAGATAGCGGTTATATTTTTCATTTTTGTGGCCAAAGAATGGAAATCAAACAGAAGCTGAAATTTATGGACAATAATTCATGAATCTGAATATCCAATTTTTAAAACATTGTTAGTCGAAGAACAAACCCAATTAATGTCCAAGAGGCCAAATTTCGTTGAACTTAGAAATTGTCCAGAACTTAAATTCAAAAAAATCCTCCATCTAAACTACTAATTTCAACGATGCCCTCATCTTCTCAATCACATTCAACCCTCAAAATCATACAAAAACAAATTTATAGTACAAAAATAATAATAATAATAATAATAATAATAATAATCCACTTATTAACGTAATGTTTGATCTATATTATTTCCAAAATATATATTTTCTCTATTTTCTTTTCAATCGTACATTTTTCAATAAAATAATATTATATGTAAACCCAAATTCTTTGCTTATTTTAACTATACATTTTCATCAATCTACTACTCCAAAATACATTTTTATGAAATAATGGTGCTCAAATGGGGCTCTAATTTCAATTAAATATCATATACGGAGAACAAAATCTAACATTAGATCTCCAAAGGGAGTGAGAATCCAACACGTAAACTGTGATCTTAGACCTAAAAACTCCACCATTGCTCACGATTTATGCTTCTCCAAAATGTCCAAAAAGAATTTAGAAATTGCAAATATTCTTCTATGTTTGAAACCCTTCTCTCTATTCATTCACCACTCAAGTCATATTAAAGCCAAAACTCAATAATTCATTTCACTAACAAAGTAGGACCAACAGCAATTTTAAGTAATTTCGAAGAGTTGAATAATCTTGTGTTAACACAAGATGGGAGTTTATGCAAAAAAAAATTGATTTGATATTTTTAAAAATTCATTTTCTAAAAAAAAGTTAAAATTATAATTTAAAAACTTAAAAATATATTTTTGATGTTTTTAGTTTTTTTAGTGAAAATGCTGAAAATATTAAAAAAAATTAAAAACTTCTGAAAAAGTATAAATTCCAAAAATTTTCTAAAATAAAAATATAATTTTTGAAAAAATAAAAATCTAGAAGAACTCAAATTTTTTAAAAAAAATAAAAAATATAAAAATTCTAGAAAAATAAAAAATAATTTAAGCTTTTAATGGTTACATTCGTAAAGAAATTTTAAAATATATTGAATGAGCACAGATAAAAACTCTTAGTCCATGTCTTTAATTTTTTATTTTGCCTAATTAATTTATTACTTATTTTTATTTTACATTTATAACGAAAAAAGTGTTAACAATGGTTAATTTATTTTATTTAAGTCAAAAATACTTAAAATTAACTATTCAATTGCTACCATTTGTGTATAGGGCCTGTTTGGGAGCGATTTTTCCTCCCAAAAAATTGATTTTTTGACCGTTATTTCATTATTCCAGCCGTCACATTTGACTTCTTCTCTCACAAGTGGATCCCACTTTTTTCCTAACGATCAAAAAATCAATTCTCAAAATCACTCCCAAACAAGCTCTATATATCAAGCAAATTACTGAAACGGTCAACTTTCTTGAAAGGACAACAAAAGAAAAGAAGAAATGTTAGCAAACATCCAACGTATCATTAAGCTAAAATTGTCCCCTCTTCTCTTCTTTTTCCTCCATTTAATTGATTAATGGCCCACTTAATCAATGCCTTTGCTTCTTTACAGCGAATCCAATTCCTATTGATAAACAAAGCCGTCCGTTACAAAGCACAGAATAACCTTATACCGGCATATATATAGATATAATATTCCCTTTATGCTCTTCATTGATTATATTGTTCTTCTTCTCTTCTCGATCTCTGGTTCCTTCTTTTATCTCCACACAGACAGATAAAGCAACAAAATTAGCGGTGATGTCGTCGAATCAGAACAGCTGCGGAGTCACAACGTGCGAGAAGCTGGATCGGATGGCTAATTGGGTTGGGACCAGCGTAGCTTCGGCCTTCTTCGCCTCACTTGAACGATGCGCCTGCATCAATCTCACCACCTCGCACGATGAATATGATGATGAAGAAGAGGCCAAAGATAGGCCTCTCATGCTCACCAAACCCATCTCTTTTAATGAAAACTCCTCCCACCGCCGCGCCGTTTAACCAACGCAAAGAGATATTTTGAATTATCTTTTCCGATTGTTTTGGATTAATGTCTATGTTTTTAGAAATATCAGTTGAAAAGTGGCTTTTTTTGCTTGTAATTATTGATCAAGTTCTGGTATTTTCTTCATTTAATATGATGTAGATTTTTTATTTTTTTTTGACTGAATTTTGTGAAAAATGAAATTTTTGAAAAATCTGTGTTTAAGAAGTGAAGAGATGAAAATTTATTTCATTAAAGAAAATGCACTGTTGAAATAAGTTTGAGAAAAAATGAATTTTAAAGAATGCATATCATGGACAAGTGATC